CCCCCCCCCAAGAGAAGCCGGAAGTTTGCCATCTTACTGGTGGGGGCCCTTCAGTAGTCACTAGGGACCCAAACAGAGATGTGGGAGCTGTATGGAGCACTAGGTTTCTCATTTCTACAGTGAACATGTCCTCATCAGGGCCCTGGGGGTCCATATTATAGATGATATTTTTCATACCCAATTCCTACAGTTGGAGCTCTGCATACATTTTCCAAGTACTGGGAAAATACAGTAAATCACCCTGATTAGGCCAAACTATCCTGATTGCAGCTGTCAGCCATTCCAGGAGTGTCTGATTCCCTGAGGCATGATGGTCATTTTGCAACTGCTGCCGGAGGGAAGGGTGAGCCTTCAGGGAAGCCATTATACTCATCTCAGTAACCGACACAACAATGTTTTCCACACCCACATCCCAGAGATGTAAAAGCCACGTAGGCAGAGAATCCGATTGTCTCTGTCTGTACCTGACGCTCCTGTCCACCAGCCCATTCTGGGTTTAGGGGCAGAGCATGGAGAGCTTCACAACCTGGAGTGGGGCCTGCTCCTCCCCCTGACAAGCCCGAGGTTGTTTCATTTTACTTTCTTAATCACAGCTCGGTGGTCCTTTAAGACCGGAAAGGCTGGTACCTCAGGCAGTGGCCTCGCAGCAGATCGGCCCATGGCCCGCCTCCCCCCCCCCACTCCTCCTCCATCTCCGGGGCTGAAGGCCCTGCTCTTTCCTCCCCTCCCCCACGGCTCCCTACAACGCGGCTTTTTCTGCCACCTCCCCCGTCGCTGCTGCTAAGGAATCTTCCTGGCTTTTCAGTAACTGTCTCTCGTCTTTAGCGGCACCCCATAGGCTATCGCCCAGCTCCTCCAAGCGATGCCAAAGTGTGTCTCTCTCCCACCTAAGTCCCTCTATCTCCTCGCTAACCCTCTCGATAATCCTCTCTCCTGTATAACATTTTCCACTATCTCGAAGAGACCCTACAATGCCAGCCGCTACGCGGTCCCCTAAGGTATCTAAGCAGTTTTCCAACTCGTGGAGACCTAATCTTGCATCTTCCAGTGTTGCCACCTTTCCCCAGTTCTGGGGAAGGTCCCAGCCTCCAGGCGGTACTTTACCCTAGACCAATTCTCCACTAGGGGCTCCCCAATTGGAAGCCCCACAGTTGGGGGGATAATAACAGGTGAAGCTGCACCCTCTGCCGCTGCACCCGCCTGGGCCTCCCCGCCATCCACGGGGGCGGGGTTCCGGGCAGCTCCCCACCGTCTCTAGGGGCAGCCCAGAGATGAATGTGTGGCCCAAGCTGGGCACATGCTCATTTAGGCTTGACCTGAATGGCTGAACCTCCCACATAAAGTGGAGTGGGAAAGAGTCTGCAGAATAGGAAGAGGGGCAGGAGGCAGGCAGATGCCCTGTAAGAGGGGCAGAACTGGCCATGTAGGTCCGGGGAAAGGAAATCCTGGGGCAAAATACTTCTAAAAACCAAAATCAGTCAAAGGGAGAAATAAAGTTTAAGACCCGTTTATTTCTCACAAACTGCAGTCCCAATACGTCTTTCTTCTCTGCTCCAGCAGCCACACACCGGCCCTCCCCTCACCTCTCAGGTACAGATAAGCCCTCTGTTGCCCAGGTAATCACCCATTGAAATGGAGATGAACTTCTCTCCACCCCTGAGGAAAGATGCAAATGTACTAAAGCCACACTTCTTTCCACCTCTGAACGCCTATTGATACTAAGGCCAGGCGAGTTATTCAGGAAATGTTTCAATTTTACCCACAGGCCACCACCAAAGGGTCTTCGGCCTAAAGGCAGCCTGGTCCCCAGGACCCCCAAGAGCAGAAAGCAGGCTGGGAGAGATCACAGAAGTCCTCACCAAGAATCTGAAAGCTCAGGGGCTTAGCCCCCGCCAAGTACCCCTGTGAGCCCAGCCCTTCAGAACATTGTGCCCAACCTCCCCCACCCCCTGATCAGCACTCTGAGCACCGACCTCCCCCAGCTGAACTCCCCCAGCTCCTCCTCCCCCCCCCCAGCATACCCCCGCGGTCTGAGCCAATCAACACAAGCCCATTCCTACTACCACGGAGACTGGTTTACAGATAAGCACATCAGCTAGGCCTCAGCCAATCAATGCAGGCCATCCGCGGCCATCAGGTAGGCCGTCCAATCAGAGCAAAGCTAAGGACTTTGAGTCTGACACTCTGCGGAAGTGTGCAAGGGGTTGTGCAGGTCTAACGGGTCCCAGGGTGGGCAGGTGCCGCTGGGGGCGGGGCTGGCAGGGCTGCTCTGGAGCTCAAGTCCAGGAGTTACTGGAGAGGAGAGTGCCCCACCCTGTCCCCAGATTCTTCAGCTAAGTGTGCACCCCATCTCTGCCTCACTCCAGGGAGGGGTCGCAAGGCTGTCCTTTGGGAGAGGTTAATGTCTGCCACATTGAGGCCCTCAGTAAAACCACCCATGGTTTCAAGTAGTCCCTCTTGGGCAGATGTCTCCTAAAAGGCCACACCTAGCACTCTGGCCCTCATGCAGTGTGACTGTTATTAGATCAGGTGACATTCCAGTCACCTGTGGCCAGGGAGGGCAGAGTTATGCGGTGGGTCCTGGGATTTCTGCATGAGGGACTGCCTTGTCCCCTGTCCTTGGCAGGAGGCTGTGCCAAGGACCCCTTGGGGAACGGTAAGTGCAGACCTTTCTTTGCAGGCCGTGCCTTTACCCCTCACCATGACCTCATTGGAAAGTGGTAATAATAATGCCATCCTGCCTGCTGCCCCAGGACTGTCTGAGCAAATGACAGAATACATGCAAAGCACTTTGGTGACCATACATTTTTAATCAGCCTTAAACCAGTTACAATGACAATCTCTCCATATCCTACCAGATATATTGCCTTTCTTTAGGAATAAATCTAGCAAGAAGTGTGTGAGATTTGCACACTTACAGGAAAACGATAAAACTCACTTGGAGGACATAAAGGAGGGTCTGAGCATGTGCTCAGTGCATTTCACAATGGGATGAGTAGATAATAAGATTTATGTAAAAGATAAATGGCCCATGGTAAAGAAAATTTTGTAGAAAGAAAGGGGATGCTTGCCCCACCAGATACCAAAAAATTAAAAAGTTATGTATACAAACTGAGTGCAGTATTAGCACAGGACTGGGCAGAGATGATCAGTCACAGGGGAGCTGAGGCTGAGGCAGGCAGGGCATCAGGTGCCACATTTACATTTAGACAATTAGTTGCTAATACCGACAGCAAAGGAAACAGCCCCCAAGAATGCTGCCTAGACTGGCTAGACTCTCTACCCAAATATAGCATGCCAACAGCATTCGGCCTAGCAACTGGGCCTCTAGGAAGCATCCAGAAGAAATGTGCACACATTGACTCTGGTCAAACACAAGGATTCATAACAGGGAAACAGAAACCGGCCAGGTGACCGGCAACAGGAAGCTGGCTTAGGAGTGTTAGGGTGTGTTCATCTGGAGAGGTCTCACTGGCCACTCGTCTGCTCTGGACCTCTAAAAGCTGCTGGCCCAGGGCGTGGCACCACACTGTCTGGTATGAAGCCACCAGTCATGGCAGGCACTGCAGTGTGGCCAGTCCTGGTTGAGAAGAACTGTATGCACAGAGTGCACACCAGGCCCAATTCTTAGACAGAGGCACCTATTGAGAGAGTGGTTAAGTGAACCCCCTGAGTCAGCAGCTGCTCAGCTCTGTTCCTGGGGGCTTCCCAGAGGTGTGGGTGTGCCTGCGCCCTAGCTGAGAACTGGGCCCAGGGGCTCTGTTCCCGCTGGGCCCACTCTTCTGGCTCATCTCGGGAGACAGAGAAGACAATGACCAGTCTCGTGGTGTCCTGGCCGCATGGCAGTGCCGGTGGCCAAGCTGCCCACTCCCTGTTCTCTGGCTCCCAGACTCCAGGGCCTCTGAGTTTAGAAGAGCCTGTGACACTGCCCTGGGCTGCATAGGTCGAAAAGTCTGCAGTGACAAGGTGACTGGGCTGTTGCTATGGTGATGGGGATGGAGGCTTTCTGCATCAACCCCAGTTTTCTGCATGGCAGCTCTAATGAGAGGACGGCGGGCCCGCCGAGGCTGTGGGCATGAGTGCAGAGGCCCCCCGGCTGGTTGCCACGGCAGCACGGGCACAGGCAGGAGTGCAGAGGGCCCTGGCAGGGGAATCCCCTCTCACACCTGGTGGCAGCAGGAACCCTGGGCCGTGGCTGGGCCCCAGGAGGCAGGCTGGAGACTGACGGAGCAGTCACTGCAGCTGCCCGCAGGCACAAGGTACAGGGCTGTCCCTGCAGGTCCATCCAGAGGACACCACGTCGTCACGGCTCAGCACCGAGCAGCCTGGAGCCTGCGATGGCCCCACGCTGAGATACCTGGCCTGGCCAGGCCTAGGTGGGGAAGAGTCCCAGGACAGGTCCCAGGTGGGCAAGGCCTGGGAGAGAAGGCTCATCTCTCTCTGGGGGACAATGAAAAGGAAGAAACTGTGTGGCTGAAGCTCAAGCCAGAGACCAGCTGGAAGGTGGGCTGTGTTCTACCAGGCCCCCTGGGTGCCACGAGCTGGGCTGGAAGAAGCCTTGGGATTTCCTGCTTTGGAAGCCTGTTGGGGAGCACTGAGAGCCTGGCTCTCGTGGCTGGCTGCTGTCCCAGTGCCGGATGACAGAGCCAGGATGGAGAGTGCCAAGAAGGACAAGGTAGCTCTGCACTGTGTCCGGGTTCCAGAGTGCTTGCTGCAGGTCCCGCTTCATGGTTGGCTTCGCATGCTCACGGTTTGCTCCTGGGGCTGATTTTGTGCTGAGAGTGTAGGGAGTGGATGGGGGGTCAGGGGAGGGCAGGCGAGGTCCTGTACTGCTGTACCAGACTCCAGCCCTATGACCTGGAGGTCCAGGAAGCCACCTCTGTTGGGTAGAGGCTCTGGGAAGCTCAGCATCCCTGCTGGGGGTTTGGGGCCCAGGGTCTTAGTGGGCAGAACCCACTGCCTGGCTGGGCAGTGAGAGAGGCTCTGCAGACCATGACTCTCAGACCCCATACTTCCCCACAGGGATCTCTTCACAAGGAGCCGGAAGGCTGTTGCTCCTGGCAAGAGGCAGAGAACAGTTGCTTTTTCTAAAACAAAGAGAAATCAGCCATCTGAGCCAGCCCTGTGCCCAAGCAGTGTGCAAGGAGGCAAAGCTGGCAATGGGGCAGGGGGAACACTCCACAGCTCCAGCCAGGGGCCAGGACCCAGCCTCTTTGGCAGGGTTTCCTCCTTGTGTGTCTTCTCTGCTCCTGCTTTGAAATGACAAGGTCAGCAGAAACACAGTGCTGGTTCTTCTCCTGGCAGAGCTAAATGATGTCAGAGGAAAACAAGCAGCCCAGGCAGGGCACCAGCAGCCGTAGGCGGGAGGGCAGGTGGAGGCCCAGAGTGAACCCGGGGTCTGTGGTGCTGGAGCAGGAGTTTGGGTAGAGATTGTGCCCAAGGGGCCTTAGGAGGCCCCCGAGGGAGAAGGGAGGTGGTGTCCCTGGCACATGTGGGGAGGGGCTTGGTGACAGTGAGAGGGATTTCTAGGTCGGCTCACAGACTTGGAGTGGGGAGCCTGTTCTCAGGCTGTCAGGCCAGCCAGTGCCCCTGCCTGCCTGTCCCAGGGGACACAGTGCTCCACGCCCCACAGGTGAGGGAGTGCTGGTCTCAGTCGGTTGCCTGACTGGCCAAGAGCCCTGGAGGGCCACCAACACCTTACAGGACCAAGAGCAGGTGAGGCACTGCCTCTGGCACACACTTTAAGGGAATATGCCAAAAACATAAGTCATCAAGATAGACAGTATTTTAATGCAAATTATGAAGAATCATATAAATGCAAAAAAGAATGAGGAACAAAATACCAATTTAAGGCAAGGTGGCATGAATGATCCTGCTGCTCCACTCATTGCAGCCCCACACTGGCTCCTGCGGTGCCAGTTAGCCGGGTACCAGACAAACAAGACCTGGGGCTGCAACATCCACATGCCTTGTAGGGGCAGGAGCAGGTCAAGAGGATCCGCAGTGAGATGCGTGTGGACCTGCTGGCCGATGCCTGCACCTGCAGGACCAGGAGGGCAGTGGGCAGTGGCGATAGACTGGAATGCTCGTGGCTGCCTTCCCTGTGTACCCCCCTGCCCCGAAGTCATCCCAAGGCAATAGAGATTAGACCCTAGACCCTCCAGGGAAGCTCTGGTACCCCACTGCAGCTGGTGGTGCATGTGAGGAGAAGCTGGGCCCTTGGCACAAGCCAAGGCAGGCATGCCTGGGGGCACCAACCTTTTCCCTGTCTGTGCAGGCCCTGGGCTTGCTTGTGGTCATGGTGTGCCCGGAACATACTGTGAAAAACACAAATGCCTAAAGTTGTAAAGAAAAAATCAGTGAAAACAAATGGTACCTGCTGAATCAGCCAAGGAGAGGCCCACTAAGGGACATATTTCAGCTGATCATGAAGAAGTGGTAGGTGCTCCCACTGCCAGTCTCACCTGTGCACACACACGGAACATCCTATGACCACTAATGGGTGGCTGACTCAGTGTTCCTTACTCAGGATCCACGAAAGCAGTGTGAACACGTGTTAGCAGGCGGGACTCCGGCTTCCAGTGGCACGTCTCCCATTCTGCCCAAGGTGCAGTGGTCTTGCTGGCTGGGGACCCCTTTCGTGATCCTGCGTCCCCCATGAGTGGACCTGCTGAGGACAATCAAAGCTTGGGCACTTGCAGGAGGCCACCCTCCTACCTCTGTTCCATCCTGAACCTGCCAGGCCAGGTGCTGTCACAGGCCTGCCTCTCCATCCTGGGGGCCATCCAGCACTCCTAAGCCTCCACTGGCACCTCAGATATGGGAGGATGTGGTGTGAGCCCACCGGCTATGGCAGGAACCAGTGCACAACCTGGCTGGGTCCAGCACAGGGGAGGGTGACCATCAGTCGTGTCCCAGGGAAGGTGCCCAGGGGCTGGAGCTGGCTGCCCTGACCCTGACCTTTCCCATTTCTCCCTTCCTGTGTCTCCACTGCCCTGCTCCTGTTTCTATCTCTATAGGTGACCTAGTGATCAAGCTTTTAGTTACCTTTGGCCCCTTCCAGCGTTATGGTATGTCCCAGGCCCTACCAGCTGGAGCCCATTGCCCTCTCTATTCCCTAGCCAGATTTGTGCCTCCAATCATTGCAGCTCCCTGAGCTCCCCTTGAGAGAGGTGAGCACCTGGCCTCAGGGTGGACAGACAGGTTGCTCTCTGTTCAGCTGTTGCCCCTTGGCCTCTTAGGCCCACGTCTTTGCAACCAGAGAGCGGGGAGAGCTCTTCTGCATGAGTTCCTGCTGGGTACAATCTGCAGCAAGGACTGGGGTTCTGCTGGGGTAAGCATCCCCTGCAGAGCTGCAGGGCTGCTCTGTCAGCCCAGCTGGAGCCTCTGGCTGCCCAGGACACCAGAAGCAGCTGCTTTCAGGAGTTAGAGGGCTGCTGTGGGGCGACAGACCATGGGTCTTGCTCTGGGCACATGTGCCTGAACCTCCACACCATCCTCGCAGGAGCGTGGCCCCTGGGCAGACCACCCAGCTCACTAAAGAGAGTCACCTGTGCTTTGACTCCCATTCACAGACCTGCTATCTGCTCTAGAGCAAGGCTCTCTGTCTATCCTGCAAAGGTCACTCCTCCTGTGTTCTCCTGTGGCCTGCTAACCCTGAGCAGCCCTCTGCCTTCCTGTCCTCACGCTTACACCCAGTTCTGCTGCCCATCCACTGCAGGTCCTTCCCTGTGAGTCCATCTTTCTCACTGCTTTCAGAGGGAGCCATCTGAGTGCAAGCCCAGGTGTGTGTCCTCCTGCACAGACCCCCCCTATGGCCTCAGTGCAGAGCCAGTCTCTCAGCAGAAGGCAGCTGGGAGATGCAAGATCAGAGCACATTCCAGCCTCACAGCCTGATGTGCACTGCCACACTGGCCATCCAGCTGCACCCTCTGTCCAGCCTCTTGGCCTTGACTGCTGTTGGTGCTCAGCCTAAGTACACCTTCTGTGTCTCTGTCACTAGGCTGTCAGTGTGGGAGCAGCTTGGTGGGGTGCAGAGGAGTGAGAGAGTCAGGGAGGAAAGGCCAGACAGTGCCTGCTGCGGAGGCTGCTGTCCTTGCTTTCCTGCTTCTCCATCTCCTGGTCCCCTGGTAGCCTGAGTTTTCCAGCCTCCTGGTGTCCTGGTATCCTAATCATAATCCTAGGAAGTATTTGATCAGGGAGTTACATTACTCACTTCATGCTTTTCAAAGAGGACTCTGCGTGCTAAGTGGAGAAAAGGTCATAGCGGTGTGGATGGGAACAAGGTGACTGGGGGCTGTTGCCTCAATCTAGTTGTGAGAAGAGAATGGCTCAGCATGGCAGGGTCAGGGTTCGGGAGAAAAAGAACCCAATCCAGGAATTCCAAGCAAAAAGGATTGGTAATGGAATTAGGAAGGCTGAAGGAGCAGAACCAGGGGCCACAGTGGGCTTGGGCTTCACTGCCACTCACTGCAATGAGATCCCGGGCTGGGGAGGTGCTATTCCCACTGTCACATGAGGCTGGGTCATGGGCCCAGGCACCACAACGTTCAGGTCAGTCAAAGCTTGCAAGTCAGCTACCACAGACCTTCTGATTCTCACAGGAATGTGACACGTGGCAGGGCCCAAGTTCACATGCAGAATCCTGCCTTTAAGGGAGTCTGAGAAAGGTCATTTTCAGCCTTTGAGCCCTTGTGTTCTGGGGTACATAAAGGGGATTAGAATAGACACTGAGTGCAAAGAAATGACCCCAGCATAGAGGAAACAGGAAATAGAATGAGGAACAAAATACCAATTTAAGGCAAGGTGGCATGAATGATCCTGCTGCTCCACTCATTGCAGCCCCACACTGGCTCCTGCGGTGCCAGTTAGCCGGGTACCAGACAAACAAGACCTGGGGCTGCAACATCCACATGCCTTGTAGGGGCAGGAGCAGGTCAAGAGGATCCGCAGTGAGATGCGTGTGGACCTGCTGGCCGATGCCTGCACCTGCAGGACCAGGAGGGCAGTGGGCAGTGGCGATAGACTGGAATGCTCGTGGCTGCCTTCCCTGTGTACCCCCCTGCCCCGAAGTCATCCCAAGGCAATAGAGATTAGACCCTAGACCCTCCAGGGAAGCTCTGGTACCCCACTGCAGCTGGTGGTGCATGTGAGGAGAAGCTGGGCCCTTGGCACAAGCCAAGGCAGGCATGCCTGGGGGCACCAACCTTTTCCCTGTCTGTGCAGGCCCTGGGCTTGCTTGTGGTCATGGTGTGCCCGGAACATACTGTGAAAAACACAAATGCCTAAAGTTGTAAAGAAAAAATCAGTGAAAACAAATGGTACCTGCTGAATCAGCCAAGGAGAGGCCCACTAAGGGACATATTTCAGCTGATCATGAAGAAGTGGTAGGTGCTCCCACTGCCAGTCTCACCTGTGCACACACACGGAACATCCTATGACCACTAATGGGTGGCTGACTCAGTGTTCCTTACTCAGGATCCACGAAAGCAGTGTGAACACGTGTTAGCAGGCGGGACTCCGGCTTCCAGTGGCACGTCTCCCATTCTGCCCAAGGTGCAGTGGTCTTGCTGGCTGGGGACCCCTTTCGTGATCCTGCGTCCCCCATGAGTGGACCTGCTGAGGACAATCAAAGCTTGGGCACTTGCAGGAGGCCACCCTCCTACCTCTGTTCCA